TTTTTTTCAGTGAATTGATACATTTAGACTGATAATCAGATAACCAGATAGAGAATACATTTGTGAACTGGACATTTATCCTGATGTAAAGGCCTAGTCAGGCCTGTCACCTCTGGGTGACCAGCTGCCCATGTCCACAAACTGGCTGTCTTTGCAAAACTGCAGTGAAGCACGTGAACGATGGCTGGTCATTGCTATGTCCTGCAAGCGGTGTGGCAGGATGTACTGGTTGCTAGGAAGAAACGATGTCCGGAGCTAGATCCTATTCCCAGGTGGCACGGCTGGCTGCAGACAGCTTTGCAGTCACAAAATGCTGCAGTCACATAATGGTGATGGTTACAGATACAAGGGACATTGTAAATCCCCTCAATGTGTCCCTTCACCTGGCAGAATTTCACCTGCACAGGAAGAATACAATCACCCCTAACCTGAGGACATTTTCCCTGGAGAATCTGCCACTGCACAGAGCAAATACCATGTGGAGGCATCAGGGTGCTCATTTTCCCAAGTCTCAAACCCATTCCTTGGCAGGGTGACTCCCTACTCGTAGACTCAGCAATTCCTGTTGTTCCTGTAAAGTCCTGTGTTCAAGAGTTAGCCATGACTTCTTCTGACACAGAAATGTGACATGCCCTCAATCACATGCTCTGACTTTGATCAACTGAGTAAATCAATAGATAAGCAAATATGCTCAAAATAATATTCCACATACTCAACTATGAGAGGCTCAGCAAAAGCAAGAAGTAATCAATTTTCCAGGACTCTAGTGAACACAGGGTGACAGAAGCAAGCAATTGGCAATGTTCTGAAGATTCTGAGATGATCTCTGGCCCTAAAATATTTCCCTCAGAACTTGCATTTGCCTTAAAACCCCATAGTTAGAATCACTAATGAGTTATACAATATCAGTCATGTTGGGTCAACGTCCATGTTTTAGCTGTGCTTTGGTACTGATTGACTCTATGATTTTGCACAGGACCCTGGACCCGTGAGGGCTGGCTGAATGCCTGGTTGCTAAGCAATGGAGCATCCGAGGTGAGGGGAGGCCATGCCACCTCTCACTGCCACTGTGGCCTCTGAAGGAGAAGAAGGGGTGGTTCTGGATAACTGAAAAGTTTGCTGTTCAGCATGGCTGAGGCTGGCCTGGAGTTGCTGGGCAAATAACAAGCCACCCTCCAGAGGGCAGGTTGGGAACAGGCATTAGTAATACCCAATTCTTTGTTAGGATTCAACATATGAATTTGGGGGCACACATTCAGTGTATAGAAGCCACCTAATTTATTCCTGTGCTTATTTTTCTTGTATATCTACTATAACCTACTGCCACATTATCATCATTGATCTTAGAATGACGCTCCTTAGGTTAAAACTTCCATCATTCGGCCGGCCGAGTGGCGGGTTGGTTAAGAACTGGCTTGGGACGCCAGAGGGCCCCAGTTCGGATCCCACATATGAGGGCCAGTGACACTGCCTTCTACAGCTAAGATGCTGAATAACAGCTCAACTTGGAGCTGGGCTGCTGTGGGTTGCCGGCGACGACATAGGCTGCAGTCCCCTGCTGCAGTGGGTTGCCATGGGCTACCGTGTGTAGCCGGCAGCCAGCCTGAGTGGCCAGCAGCGCAGTGAGCGTCTGTCCAGAAGCCGGCGACTGATCTGCCTCGCCCGGGAAGAGTGCAATGATGGTGCCAACTTGGGCCAGTGAAGCAACGTCCTCCACAACTAGACTGAAGAACAAAACGACAGCAACTTGTTTGTTCCCCTCCCCCAATTCCCCAGTGCTGTTCTCATCTCCCAATTCCCCAATAAAAATCTTTAAAACAAAACAAACAAAAAAAAACTTCCATCATTATATTTCTCCTACCACACTTATTAGCTCATTAAAGTAAACTGATATGGCTTATAAATATTTCCAGCAACAACATTTGAAACAAGAAATGATATTAACTAGAATGTTCTGGGACTCATTAATTGAAATTTTACTATAGCCAAGAACACTGCCTGCCCTTTCAGTGGGGTGACTTGAAAGAGCACACGATTCAGAATGAGTCAGCCCCCTGATGCTGAGTCTCAACAAATCCCTGAGACTCAGAGCCCATCCTATCAACGAGGCTGATGCCACCACAACAAAGGAAGGTGGGAGATGAATGACATGCTACATGGGAAGGTATTTTGAAAAGGTAGAAGTCCCATGTGGATGGATATTGGTTGTTATTTAAAGATTCTTGGGACTTTGAAATGAAACATTCCAAAGTTTAGATCTTCAGATAGTGAAATGTCACAGCAACTTGATTTGAGTGCAGTGTAGAGGATCTGGAGCTGCCGCTAAAACAGAAAAGAGCTACTAAACTGTGCTCTCAAGGGTATGTGTTTACTTTAGTAAATCTTTTTGCAACAAAGCTTTTAAGACGTGAAGATATTTGGAGAGCCTGGTCACATGGAATGAAAGAAAAGATGTATGCACTTCAAACACATCTGGGAAATGTCAACAAGATTCAGTGACTTAGGGCTTGTATTGCAAACTAAATTCATTATTTTATTTTGTCTTTTTAAAAATGAATTTGATGGAAAGGAAAATTTTAGACTATGTATGTGATTTAACTAATTACTCATCTCAAATATATGACTTTAACTAGCACATATAGGTTAATAAAAAATTTTTGGTCAAGATTCTAAACATGAAATCAGATATGAAAAATGTCCTGGCCAGTCTTACCACTATAGAGAAACTCCAGACCCATCTGAGGTTCCAGAAACTTTGTTTGGCAGCCTGGTCAGTGCTTTTTAGCCATTCCATATAGCAAGCAGGCCAGAAGGTAAACAAGAACTGCCTTGATGTAGAGACCTTAAATTGAACTGGAACAAATTGTCTAATTTTGAGATAGACCCTGAGAAATGGCTAAGACAGATTTCTGTGCTGCTATTTTATGTCTTTTAGACTTGTTGGCAAAACTTCTACTACTACTACCACTACTAATAAATGGCATTAATAATGTAATGTAATGCAATGCAATAAATATGATATACATATTAATTATAATTACAAGAACATGTTTAGCATTATTCTAAGCACTTTCCATGAATTAGCTCATTGAATCCTTACATGCATCAATCCCATGAAGTATGAGCTATTGTCATTCCCATTTTACAGCTGAGGAAAATGACATAGAGAGGTTGAAGTACTTGCCCCAAATCTGAAGCAATGCAGTCTAACTCCAGCACCCCCTTTCTCATCAAGCAGCACACTGATTGCCTTCTCCATGGTGTCGCCCTGCAGGATGGTTCTGAGACCTTCCTTGGCCTTCAATTTTATTACTCTTCTACCTCTGACTGCAGTATAGACGCCTGCCCTCCCCACCTGATGGCTGCCCTCCAGTGGGTAAATCACTTGACTATGGTGTTAGAAAGAAGAGACAGTCCTGGGAAAGGTGGTCCATGTACTTTGAGTTGGTTTCCAGTAGGAAGGGTGAATTTTCTCTGATCCATCTATATTTTCTTACCTTGTTGTAATACAGGCATGCCATTGGGTGGCTAACTTGGCTAGGTAATGTGGTGGGCAGAATAACAGCCCCCCAAGATGACCATGCCTAATTCCTGAACTTGTGACTATGTTAACTCAAATGGCAAACAAGGCGTCACGGAAGTGATTAAGGATTTTGCATAAGGCAAAATTATCCTGGGTTATTTGGGTAGGTGCAATGTAATCACAAGGGTCGTTCTAAGTGAAAGAGAGGCAGAAGGGTAGATCAGTGTCAGAGAGAGATTTGAAGATGCTGCTCTGCTGGCTTTGAAGATGGTGGAAGAAGCCATGAGCCAAGGAATGCAGGTGACTTCTAGTAGCTGGAAAAGAAGAGGCACCGGCTTCTGCCCTAGAGCCTCCAGCAGGAAAACAGCCCTGCCAACACCTTGACATTAGCCTGGTGAGACCCATTTCAGGTAGTGACCGGAGGTTAGTAAACAAAATTAGAACTCCACCAAATATTTACATGCTCAAGAGTGGTTTGACTAATGGAGGAAATTCTACTTAATTTCCTTTCCTCACATTCTCCCCCAGTATTTGCCCTCAGATTCTGTCTAAACTGACCTAACAGGATGCTGAAGGCTGGCCAGGGTGATCAGACATCACCTGGGGTATGGTGGGGGGTAAGGAATGTGGTCATATATTGAGGGTGATTAGATATCTGAGGGTGGGGGATTCTGGCTAAACTGACTTATCAGGATTCTTGCTAAAATTGGACAATGCACAAAGAAACATGGAAGTCCAATATTCAGGACTAGTTGAAAAAGAGTTCAGCCTGTTTCCTGATAAGGGAGCCTGAGTAGCATTTAGCCCACGAGAGAATCTGTGTCAACGGTATCACACATTATGCCGTCATTTGTGCCTGGCTTCCTTCACTAAGCATCAGGTTCATCCATGTTGGAGCATGTGTCAGCACTTAGTTCATTTTAATTGATGAATAATATTCCATTGTATGGATTCCAAAGTTTTACTACATCAGGTTTTTAGTTTTTACCGTTTTGTGATCACAGCTTCCTCTACCTGAAGTTGAGGAATGAACCTTTTGGTTTTGCCAAGACAATCTGAAAGGGACACCTGGGCGTGGTGGCAATAGTAAAAGCTTATCATCAAGTCCCAGGGTTGGTGTGTGTGCTCGTTGAACCCCCACAACCGGCCTCTGAGGTGGGTATCATCATTTTCACACATAAGAAAAACGAGGCACATTTGGAACCAAGGTCCTACACGAGGGAAGTGGGGCTGACCTCCAAAGAGGCCCAGACCTTGGGCGCCGACGCCCCACTAAGAAGGAGTCAATGAGTGAACGGCGCAGGGACATGTAAATGGACTGAGAGTCCTGGGGAACTCGAACCAGGGAGAAACGTCTTCCAGGGCCTCCCAAGAGCCCCGGACACCCGAGGGCCGAGAGAGCGCCTCAGAACCAACGGCACAACTCGCATTTCAGGCGCCGGAGGGGACGCGTTTGCGGAGGACTTCCGGGGCGGGGTCTGGCAGGAGCGGAAGAGCCGGGCGGCGGCAGCCGGGGACGGTCGAGGCCGGGCGGGACGCCGGGCGCGCAGCGCGGGGTTGGGATCCGGGTCCGCCCAGCGGGCAGCGGGGACGCTCGGCCGGACCCACCGCCCGCGCGGCCATGAACCTGGAGCGGCTGCGGAAGCGAGTCCGGCAGTACCTTGACCAGGTGGGTGGCCCGACCGATGAGCGCTGGTCCCGGGACTCGTAAGTTACCGCCAGGGTAACTGCCATCAGGGGCTTGGCGGTGGATGGCCCGGACGAGCCTGGGCTTTCATTTTAGGGCAAAGCTCTCGAAGGGTGGGATCCAGCCCCCGCTCAGCCTTTTCTGCAGCCGGGAGGACGAGGAGCACTAAAAATGAAAGCCACCGAAACGTCTAGTGAAACGTACACGTGCTTACGGTCCCGCTCTGCAGCCGGCCTAACTCCTGGGCACACAGTAGGTGCTCAGTAGCGACACAGTGCTTGCTGTAGCTGAAGGATTATTTTAGGAGATAAAGTGCAGGGTGGCCTTTGAATTCAGCTAGCTAATAGAAAATTTTCGAGACGTTGTAATTCTCATTTGGCCGAATGTACGTGAATAAAAATACAAACAAGCCTGTTGTCGCAAATCAGTACTTTAAAAATTTTGTGTTAACTACATCTGCGTTCCCTGCGCTGCCCTTCAGTGAACAGCAAACAGTGTTTAAGGAAGGAAGGGCCTCCAGAATGAGATCAGTTTAATCCATGATGTCACTTAGTTTTAGTAAAATGTATAAATAAATTGGAAACCAAGGAAGGAAGGGAAAAGCATGTCAGTGTTCAGAATTGGGTGTGAAAAGATGCTGCCAAATGTTTGCAGTGCATTGGAGGGCTGTATTTTGGTTTACCATTCGTCAGTTGAATTGAACAAATGTTTCCTGAGCGCTTTGGCGCTTGAGGATGCAGGGAGGAATGACAGCCTGGTTTCCACCCTTGGGGCACTTACATTGAGCGGATTTGTAACCATTCTGTAAGCATTCCTCCTCCCATACTGACAGGCAGCTGAGTTCCTGGTTTGCATCCAGGAGGACTAAGGGGAAGATTGTAGAAAAATGAGACCCATTGCTGATGCTATTGCAAAATAATCGTTTAAATTATCTACTGTTTTAGGTACTATATATATATTTTTAAAGCTGTATCTTTCCCATCACCCCCCCCCCCCCCCNAGATTTCTACATAGAAATATTAAGTAGGTAGATGGAAAGCTCTGGACAGGAGATACAAAATTTGAACTTCTTCAACATAGATGGGTTCTTTGACAAATTGTGTTTATAAAGTAATAGCGTCCTCAGAAAGTCTCATCTAGTAGGAAAGAAAGATGGAAAACTAACAGACACTCTTGCTCAATGCTGAGCAAGTACCAGGAGAGAGCCCAGCTCTCACAGGTATATGAAATAATGCAGTGCAAACAGGCCAAGCTGAAAAGGGACGTAGGTAAGTCATGGGTTTGATGTTGCTATGTTTCAGGTCACTGTTGACAAGTGGGAACCTTTGTTGAACAACTTGGGGCATGTCTGCAGAAAACTTAAGTAAGTGAAGTAGAGCATTTCAGAAATATTCTTTGTGACTACAAGTTTACTTAATTTTGTGTAGCCTTTACCATATTTTTATTTTATGAGATCCTCTGTCTTTCTTGTACTTGGCTGCTCAGATATAACAAACATCAAAGTAACTGTTTTTATTATCTCTATTGGTGTAATTTTATTTTGTAATATATTGAGAATTAAAATAACTTTTATTTCCTCACATTGAAAAGAATTTAGTGTTCAAAATTAATTTTGAAGAATTAACACTTTGTAAGCGGGCATTTTTCTCTATACAACGAGTTTACTCGTTTCCCGCAAACAATGTGTTAAGACAGTAGGATTTAATTCAAACCATATCTATATTCTAACTCACTGTTTTCCTCTAGTTATCAGCTTTCTCTTGTGATAAACAGATGGCAGTTGAAAAGTAGATTCTTTGGACAAATAAGAAGTTTTTAATTAATGTCAAAATAGCCACAGGAAAGCAAAGTTTAAAATTAATAAGCAAGTGTAGGAAACTCTAGGTTACTCAAAATTTAACAGGTTTTTGTATTTCAGGATTTCTTAGAGTCTTTATTATGCATTATGAACTGCAGCATTTCCCAAACTTTATTAAGCACAAAACCTTTTCTTCACAAAAGATTTTACAGGAAGTGTTTTCCAGAGAACTTTGGGAAATGCTGTTCCAAGTAACTCATTTGGGCCTAAAAGCAAAACTTTATGTTTGCTTTGAACAACCCCTGGTGTGGGAGGTTGATTTTACATAAAGAGGCCTTACCCTGTGACAGGGCACAGGCCCCAGTCAGAGGTTAGGTTCTGGCTCGTCTCCTGCCGAAGGTCAAAAGGAATGCAACTAATATCCCTGCAGGACTACCCTTAGCTGCCTGAGTGAGCTAGGCAGGAAAATACATTTCAAGGAGGTGCTGAGATACACAGAAGTGGATGTGAAGGCACGTTATCAGTCTCAACTGTTATTCTGATATAGGAAAGTGTTTCTTATGTTTTTACATCGATGAATACTTACCTTAGACTTAGGAATTTAGTACTTTTACTGTACCCACTAATTGTTTTATTCCTTCCCATTCTCTTCCCCTCCCCCAATTCCCTTTCATCTCTCACAGAAAGTATGCTGAGGCATTGGATTATCACCGTCAGGCACTGGTGTTAATTCCTCAGAACGCATCCACCTATTCTGCCATAGGGTATATCCATAGCCTGATGGGCAACTTTGAAAATGCCGTGGACTATTTCCACACAGTATGTCTTTTGTTTTACCTAACTTTACATCTGGTTAACATTTACCACTTCTTTTTTTAAAAAGATCTTTTCTAGGCAGTGTTTTGTTACTTTACCATTTTAAAATTTTTCAGGGGGCCTTGTATCTTATTCTTTTCTTTGCAGAGAAAAGCATGTCCATGTTATGTATTGGAAACAAATGTGAGACTTGTTGTGTGTGTGTAGTGAGACCTAATAGTATCCAGTGTTGTTTGTTAGCCCAGTTTGAGCTGGGCGTTACGTCTAGGCAGGAGTACAGAAATTCATGTTGCACAATGAGAGCCTTTTGGGAATTCTAGTCTTTCTATTTATGATGTAGAATTAATTTCCTTAAATCACTTTAATAGATGAACAAAACAATCTGCGTTCATTACAAGGAAGGAGTCTCTCCTTAATCCATATACTGTATTTCATCAAATCTAAGTCACCATTAGTAAGCAAGATGACCTCACACACAAAAATACACTGCCGTTTAAACTTTAACATAATTGTTTCCTATCACTTCATTTTTTTGTAATTAGAAAACCTGCTCTTTTGGATATATTATGATGTAGATTTTTACCAGGGATCACTCTGGTACCTACATAAAAAAGAAAATATAAGTGAAATAAATAGGTAAGGTATTCAGTTCTTCACAGAATTTGGTCCTTCTAAATCACTTTTGTACCAGATGGTGAATATCTCTGTTTCCCTAAGGTATTGTCCTGCTGCCAGCACATACACCCTGCTCTTAAATCAGGCCCCTTCCAGCCAAAGACACTGCCTCTGCAAATGTTATGCTGCCAAGAAGTGTCAACAGAAGGTTTTTAGACAACAACCACAGTCATGTATCTTCTGTGAGTGTTCCTCACATGGTTTGTGGTCTAGTCTGTGCCATCCATGTGGCCACTAAGTCCACGCTGCTTTCCCAGACACCTTTATCACAGCTGTGGCCAGCTGACAGCAATAATAAGAAACCACCAGTTATAGGACATCTCAAGTTCAGAAATGTTAGAATTTGAAAAAATTGTGGGTCTTATAATCAATGAGATAATGATGTTTGGCGAAACATTAAAAAATGAGGAAATGCAGTATTTCAAAGACAAATTCATAAGTGATAGATCCCTAACCGAGTTTCACTGGTTGGTTACAGAGTTTCAGGCAAGATGATGTCCTGAAGGTGCCACTGATAACCAGAATACTGAGCTAGTCAGAAGTGTGAACTAAGCAATTTTTCTAGTTTGTGTGATCTTTCAAATATGTGTATTTGAATATTATATAATTTATTTCTTTTCTATGATTTAATACCAAGGCTTAGAGGGTTCTCTGTGGAGATACAGTTTTTAAAATCTTATTGGAGGAGGGGGATTTTAAACATAAAAATAGAAGAGTATAATTACCCTTTATGTACCCATTACCTAACTTCAGCAGTCACTAACTCATGGCCACTCTTGTTTTAGCTGTATCCTCATTAACCTCACTCTGCTCCTACCCTGGACTCCCTGGAGTATATTGAATTGAGTTTTGCAGGAATATTTTTAAACAAAAGAGAAGGAAATACATTTTCTTATGATAACCATGCTGAATCTTTTCTGGCAGGCCCTTGGTCTTAGGCGAGATGATACATTTTCTGTTACGATGCTTGGTCATTGCATTGAAATGTACATTGGTGACTCTGAAGCTTATATTGGTAAGATTATAATTACTCTTATTGACATTACATTACATTTTTCAGATTGTTGCATATCTCCGTTTAGGTGTCTCAAATTGTTACATAAGATTCTAAGTTTATCTTTCTAACCATTCTAAACTACATTAATATAAGAAACTCCATTTATTTTGTTGGAACAATGCTGTGAGAATTAATGTCTCATTAAGTATTCATTCACTTTAAAGTTAAGCACTGGTTATATGCAAAATACTATTATAGAATATGTATTAAGCACTATGATATCAAGAATCAATCTAATTGCATAATAGAAAAATCTTAGAGATATTTTTCTAATAAATAAAGGGCTCTGGCCTTAATATTTTATAATGCAGGGATGGTAATGCAGAGATGGCATATTAATCTTTATATTTCAGTGGAATATTAAGTTGGCTTACATTCATATTGCAGTGCTCTTTAATTCTTTAATTTTTTTTTTAATGATAAGACAAGTTTGGGTAGAATTGCTGTACGTGGGCACTCATTTAGTTACAAACATTGTAAGGTAAAGAGGGTGCAGTGAGGTTAAATCTTGAGATCTGGACTTTGGAGCAGACAAAGAGTTCTTTAACAGGACATAAAACCATAGAGGGAAAAAAATGTTATCTTAGGCTTCAATAAAAGAACTGTTCATCAAAAACACGCATATTAAGAGTGTGAAAAGGCATGTCATACCCTGGGAGAAATTACTCACAACAAACAGACTCATCAAAGAACCTATGTCTAAGGGCCGGCTGAGTGGCTCAGTTGGTTAAGAGCTCGCTCAAGAGTTTGAGCTCTGAGCAACAGTGGTTC